GGCCGGGCCCAGGGGAGACGGGGTCCCCCCCGGCGGGACGGCAGCGGAGCCCCTCGCAGGTGGGTGCCGGTCCCGGAGCCACCCGCGCCGGTCTGTGCTGTCCCTGGCTGCTGCCTGCCCCGCTGCCCTGCCCCGGCGCCGCTCTGCAGAGCTGCCAGCCGGAAAAGGGCTGCCCCGTTTTATGTCAGTCGTGATGGCTCTCAGAAATGCTGCCTGTGCCAGACTAGAAGTGCTGCACTGTCAGGGAAGAGAGAACTGGGGTTTCCCCCACCTCCCCTAGATTGAAAGAAGGAGTGGGTTTCATGCTAGACCCCCAGAATTACTGGCTGGCAGGTATCACTGCCCAAGGCTCATCATCCTCTGGTGCTGCAGCGATTGTGCCATGTAACGATAGCCAGCATTTCCTTCTTTCATGATACTTTTGTGTTTGTGCAGGAGATCTCAACATCTCCGAGCTGGCAGCTGAGGAAACTGCAGTCCTGGATGTCCCTAGTGAGTTTAGGAGGCCAGTGATCAAGTGTTTCCCCAGGCTTCAAGAAGAGGAAAGCACAACTTCTGAGCATGAGCTGTGGCAAGACAAAGTGCTGAGGGCTGAGGATCTGCACCTCGAGACCATTTCAACCAATAAGGCCACTGGCAAGTGCGAGGAAGAATTGGATAAGGGTGTGGATTGCAGCTTCTCAGCAGAAAAGGTGGAGATGGGACATAAAGAGGCGTGTCGAGGAGACCTGGATCTGTTGTCTCCCTCAAATGGAGTTCAAGTCAGTGCTGACTTGGTTGGCAGGCCATGCAAGGTGCATGCTGTGGCCAGCCAGCAGTGCCTGTGGGATGGTGGTGGCAGGACAGCTGGGCAGGAGCACCAGCAGCCCAGTCCTCCCGACAAAGGAACAGTAGGGACTTGTGAGAAAGACAGCAAAACTTCCAAAGACTCCAAACTGGTATCCCCAGGGCACGGGGAAAATGGGGCACTGGAGGGGCCGGAGGAGTACACAGAGGTGGTGGAGGGTCATTCTGGCAGCCCAGGCCCCCCACCTACAGCTGTGTCCCAGAAGGAGAGGACCAAACGCAGGCACCGCTGCGGGGAGTGTGGCAAAGCCTTCCTGCAGCTCTGCCACCTCAAGAAGCACCACTTTGTCCATGCTGGCCACAAGCCCTTCCTCTGCACAGAGTGTGGCAAGAGCTACAGCTCAGAGGAGAGCTTCAAGGCCCACGTGTTGGCCCACCAGGGCGTGCGGCCCTTCCAGTGCAGCCAGTGCGACAAGGCTTACCGCACCAAGCGAGACCTGCAGGAGCACCAGGTCCTGCACACCGGGCAGCGCCCCTTCTCCTGCGAGCACTGCGGCAAGGCCTTCGCGCACCGGCCCTCTCTCCGCATTCACAGGAAGACCCACCAGGCCGCCGGGACTGACGCTGCCGCTCCCGCGGGATGCCAGTGTGCCATATGTGGGCGCCGCCTGGCCAACCCCAGCTCCCTGCGCAACCACGTGCGCCTGCACACGGGGGAGCGCCCCTACGCCTGTCCCCGCTGCGGGAAGGACTTCAGGCAGCAGAGCAACCTGCGCGAGCCCCTGCGGCTGCACACGGGCGAGAGGCCCCACAAGTGCCGCTTCTGCGGCGACGCCTTCCCCAAGCTGCCGGAGCTGCGGAGACATCTCATCTCCCACACGGGTGAGGCCCACCTGTGCACTGTCTGCGGCAAAGCGCTGCGGGACCCCCACACGCTGCGTGCCCACGAGCGCTTGCACACGGGCGAGCGCCCGTTCCGCTGCGAGCAGTGCGGCAAGTCCTACACCCTGGCCACGAAGCTGCGGCGCCACCAAAAGTCCCACCTGGCTGACAAACCCTACCAGTGCGAGCTCTGTGGCATGGGCTACGGCCTTCCCCAGAGCCTCGCGCGCCATGTGCTCACCCACAGAGCACAGAAGGACCCTGAGGAACTCCGCGCTGCAGCGGCCTCACTTGCTGTGGACCTACCCCAGGCAGCAAAGAAAAAGCCTCAGAGGAAGGGCCACCAGGAAGAGGTTGCAACAGAGCCCACCTTGCTGATGGTGGAGGCGCCGGGGCCAGCAAATGAGGCTGAGCTGGTGATCACAGCCACTGATGGCTGCATTGCTGCTTTCCAGTCTCAGGGCAGGCCCCTGGATCCTGGGGCACACGGGAGGCCTGCGGGGCATTTTCCGCCAGCAAAGGACATCATTGAAATCACCATCTCTGAGCATGAGGACAAATGCCTTATAGTGCAGGATGAGGACTCACCAAGTGACGTGGTCATCATCCAGGAGGTGGGCTTTGGAGCAGTGGCAAAAGTGGTGGAGGTTGAGACTGGGACCTGATTATCCCAGCCTGTCCTCGCCAATACTCTGTATGCATTACAATGGGATTAAAAAAAAAACAGCAAAATACCTAGGTCTAGGGTTTTTCAAAGAGCATTTTTCACCATTGGCAAAAGGAAAGTCCTGCCTTGGAGCCAGGGCTGAGTGTTTCTTCTCCACTGCCACCCCTTTTCCTTGCTGTGATCTTCCTGGCCTCTGGTGATTGGATGGTCTGTATGAGGACATGAAAGGATGGCTTCATGTCTCACTGTGCAAATCGTACCATCCAGTGCAATTTCCACTGTTGCCAGCTGGGAGGCTCCTCACCTCTCCAGGTAAGATTCCAACAGTTCTCAGTGTGATCAGAAGATTCTGCCTTTCCCCTTCACATTCAAGTTGGGTTCATTCATGTGTTTCCTTTGCTCTTTTTCTCACATTCTTGCTTCCTCTCTTCTATTTCTTTCCTGGTGCTGCACCACTGCAGCTACACCCCATATTCCCACTGCTCCATCTTTAGTGCTCATCTGCCAGCTTGAGGAACGCTGGAGGAAATTGGTCCCATTTCAGGAAGGACGTGCACAGTTCCCAGTGCCAAAGGAACATGGCCTTACAGGAAGACACCAACAATACCAGCCCTAACAGAGGTTTTTCCGACTTCCCTACCCTGCACTCTCTTTTCACATGTTATGCCAACATAGCTTTCATTTGCTGCATCTTCACTTTCTACTGTTCTTGATCTCCATCTTGCCCCTCTGTAATGTCTGTATTTGCCCAGATAAATTTTGTTTAGGGGTCTAAATTCTCTGGGCTTTCTCTACCCAATGCACAAGAGGAGGCTATAGTATCACTGAGGCATTTACAAGTAGCAGAGCTCCCTTTTGGGGTGCTATGAACACAGTGATGTGACAATCTGAAAAACTTTGCTTTGTAATTTCTACCTTCAACCTTTTCCATAAACTTTTACAACCAGTTTATAGACAAGGTGCTAGAGTCAGATCCATGACACTTCACATGATGTGAAGTGAGGGTGGATGGGGAATTCAGCTAATAAACCTTTGGGTGTCCTTATTTTTAGGTATTTTCTCAGTCTTTGCCCTGAGTGCTTGGAGAGGTACCAGTGGAAGCACAGGCATTGGAGAGGGGCTTGTATTCAAAGCTGCTGTGCTTCCTACTGCTCTCCCTTTGGTGCCTACCCTGACTCTTGCAGTTTTCAAATATTGACACAGCTGCAAAGTGTTCTAGCTGGAGCTGGGCTCACGGTTTGTGTTTGAAGCATGTGCCCTCTGTCACAGCACAACTTGTGCGTGAGAGAAGAGGGAGCAACTGGGGGAAGGGACGGGGAGAATCCAGGCTCCTGTTGCTCAATCTGGTGACCTGCAACTACCTTCTTTATTCTGAGATAATAGAGAGAAAATCTTAATTAATAGGTCCTCACAGAAATATGACTCATACCTGCCTGGTGCTGTACAACTTGGTGTTTGCAGGATCTGAAGGGGTGTATGATTATCTAGTGCTATACCCTTTCTCATGTCCAATAAATGGTATTTCAATTAATACATACAGGCTCTGAGGGTCTTTTTTTTACTGGGATCTATAACAAACACTTGCACCAGTGCATTACATTTGGTATAGTTGGCAGGATCCTGGTGAGAAATGCCTTACTGGAAGAAAGATAGTAAGGAAAATGATAGGTACCTGCCTGGTCCCATGTGCTGGCATGGGAAACAGTAACACAGTATGCTGCATTATCATGCAGATAATCATTATGCTTCAGCCAGCAGACATATGGATCACCTGGCTGGCTGAAGATCTTGTGCACCTGTGACACTTAACATTTTCAGGCAGCAAGCACACAGGTGTCCAGACTGGTGGGTCTCCACCATGCTGGCAGGGCTTCATAAGGGCTTTGTGGTGCTGCTTCAACACTCCAGGGTGACAAGTGCACACGTCTGTGGGATGGTTGGGGTCCATCATGCTGGCAGGGCCTCACCAGGCATTAGGCTTGCACAAAAACTTCAGTGTTACACTTAAGCCTCTCACCGTGGCCGGAGTTCAGCCCTTGGCCAACTTGTAAACTGGCTTCAACCTGACCAAGGTGTTTGACTGGAAAGGTGGTAGCAGGCTGTGAGGGAAGGGGATGATTCTTTTGGTCCTTAAGTCCCCCTGCTTGGCAGCTCCTCTGTCCTTAGTGTTAGGGGAACCTGTGTATGAAGGGATGGGGGATTAATTCCTTGTGATTATACCCAAAGTGTTCCAATTGGTGACCAAACTCTAACTTACCTCAAGAAAATGCTCAGAAATGCCACATCTATTGAATCAGCAAACTGTATCCATCATAGAGCAGACAAAAGCCCAAGGAAACAAGCCAAGGCCAAATCCTCTGCTCCCTGGAAGTTGGGAAGATAGTAACATAGGAAATAAACAACTGCCAAAGGCTTTCTTCACTTAAAAAGAAGAGTCAACTCACAGAGGGAAAGTGATCAAAACTCCCAGCAGTGTTGAAAGCCATAACTCTGGGAGGGTAAAGGCATGAATCTTAGCTCTTTTACCCTAAGAAAGAAAACAGCATCCATCACTCCTGGGGCAGGTGAAGGTAGAAAGAAAATGAAATTATAAAAAGTTGCTTACAGGAACAGTGAACAGACGGAAGAGTCAAATGTTTGAGGGGTGGCAGTCAAAGGCCCCAGAGAAGTGACAGCTTATGCACCTGCCCTGCTGCAGAGGCTAATCATAACAATGGGGAAAACAGACAGGAGCCCTAGAAGAACATTACAGAACAAAAAAAAAAAGGCATTAATATGAAGAGCCAACATCTCTAATTACCAACATTGTTGTAGGATACCAAAAAAGGCTGGAAAACATCTCAGGATGTAGAGAAAATCTCCAATTATAGAGAAAAATCAATATAAAAAACCAATTTAAACTGAAGTGATGTATGTAAAGAAAATATCAGCAGTTACAGTTAACAACCTAATGGCCCTGGCAGACAGGTTTGTCCTGTTTCACAGAGGGAAAGAACAGCAACTGGAAAAGAAGCAGCCAGATATGGTGACTGTTTGGTTTCAGTAAGGTGGTTTTTTTTAAACAAGTGCTGAAGCAACAGACTGAATGTAGGAACCAGAGCAGAGATAATATTAGAGGAAGATGTCATAGCTAAGTATTAGAGGGTATTCATACTTTTCTGGTAATCAAGCTTAACTGCTGTAATTTAGTGTTGTTTAACGTTAACCTCATATAATGCATGATACCATGAAGGATATCAGCACTTTTCCTTTAAAGGAAAGAGAAGAAGATGATTAAAAAAATATGTATAAATATAACAATGTTGACTTAAGCTGCAGCGTAAAGGCTGCCTGGTTATTATAAAGAAGCACAGAGGCATGCAGAAATAAATAAAAAAAAAAGTTACTAAGCATATTGGAAGCTCTTACAAAGTGAGGTACCCTGATGATCCTTGAAACAAGTTGAGATGAGAAGGTCCAGGCCAGTGTTGCACATATCACTTGGCTGCAGGACAAGCTTTGCCAGCTAACCCTAACTGGGGAGCCCACAGTTTGCGTCTGCTTGGCACCTGGTGATGATGGCACCGGTGTGACCTTGTCTTGATCTTTGAGTGAAGCAGAATATTTTGATGTGTACACCCTTTTAACAGCAGAAATTACAAACTGAATTTTTTACTGTTGAGAAGATCCTATAAAAACTTCAGCACAGATACTACCTCTGCAGCGTGGCATGGGCTGATGCTGTTACTTGGTGTTCCCACCATCTGAAGGGCCACAAGATTATCAAATGTAATTTCATTTTGCCTTCTACTGTTATCCCCAACAAATGGTATTTTAATCAATATGTTACAGTCCTTTCTTATTGGTATCCATAATAAAGGCTTGCACAGGTGTATTACAACTCCATAAAACACAGCAGCATCTGTCTGTCCCATCACTACAACGAGGGGGTGGGCAGCAGTCTTCCTGTGGCTCTGTTTCTTCCCTCCATCCACAGCCATGTGGGCTCACTTAATTACACCTGGTGAAAGCAGCCCTGAGGTCACTTGTCCTGCCTGCAGTGCAAGACCCAAGCCCAATTATTGTATAGAGAGTAAAGAAACTGTCCTTGCTGCTCTCCTCTTCTTGTCAGCTGAGCAGAGCTCTCTGCTTGCCAGCTGGGCTAGCACAAATGTGGGGCTGTTGGTGGAGCACCAGTTGTGGCTGCTGCGTGGGATGGCAGCAGCTCTGATTTCACCACCCTTCCAAAACCTGTTTGTGCTCTGAAGCCTCCTTCCTGTCCCTGCCTACGTGCTTCTCCTAAATGCTGCTTTCTCTAGCCAAGTAACATGGGGTGTTTCTAGGGTTGTGCCTAACCCACACTGCTCCACCCAGGTCACCTCCGTTCAGGTCATGCCAGCCATTCCTACAGGTGTCTCTCCAAAATCCAGGGGCGTGTGTGGGTGAGAAGAGGAGATACTCTTAGATGAGGGAGGCAGTCTCTGCGACTGCTCTTTGTACCAGTGGCCACACAGTCATTCCTCAGCCACCCTAATGCTAATATTTGCACTCCTTCAATGGAGATAAACATCACAGATGTATCTGCTGCATGGAGGCACAGCACAAAACATGCTCCCTTGCTGGCAGAAAGCACTTCTGTGCCATGTGGCCGTTCCTGAGACTACCCCCACCCTGCCCTGCTTTCTGCTGGTTCCTCACTCTGCCAGTTTTCTGATTGCTATAGGAATCATTAGAGCTTTCCCAGCTCTGATAGTCCAGTTCTTGACTTACTAGCTGGTGTCATGACATTCAGACTGTTCCTGCCTCCCTGTTCCTGGAAGCTCTTGTTTTCCTGACTAGTTTTGGATGTGCTAGCTCATTGCTTGCCAGAGCTTTATCCTTTTGGATGTACTTTTGTATGTTTCACTGGTGTGGGAATAAAAAGGGGAGCCCAAACTTCTTGCTGCTTCATCCTCCTCCACTCCTCTGGGAATTGTAATGCAGTGGGAAGCATGCACTGCCAATGGCATTGCTGACCTA